TAGTGGTATGTTCTGGAGATTGCCCTTGCAGTCTTTTCACTGTTTCTTTTGAGTTGGACCTTCTTGCGGGTCTGTTTGTTGATGCCAAAGACATTGCAAGGAAGAGGGTTACGATCATGACCAATGCCCCATTCCTGGCAACGTTGGGTGTCAAGATGGATCACGAGAATCTTGGATCTATGGTGTTTTAGGTTGATCATTGGTCCGCATTCAGTGCTCCGAGTGGTTGGTGTTCATCCATTGCCCCCCCATGCTTTCAGGAAGAGAAGCCGTCTTTTGGATCTTCAAGCCCGCAAGAGGATTCGCATTGTCCGCCGCTACTGTGACAAGCGGGGCCTGCCACGGATCCAAGGAGGCCCTCACCTCCGTTCTACACAGGCATATCCCTATGGCCTGGGCCTACGTGTGTGCGATCTGCTGCAGAGAAATTTGTAGGGACCTCAAACCTCTCCAGTGTCATGTAAAGTGTGTCGACGTCACTTGAGAGACCAGGAAATTAATAAATAGACGTTTCAAAGAAAATGGTGGATAGTCTACTTATTTGCCTTGGCGAGTGAACCATTAGGCCAGCCAAGAAAAAGATTCTGCCGGATCATGGCCTGGAGTTCTTCGATAGCTCGGAGTCCGATGACTCCGGTCTAGAGGACATCATGGATTCGGATGGAGCTGCCGTGGGTCCCGTGACGGAGCATATGCTGAATTTTATTATCAACTTCTGATTGGGTCCATGACCCAACCAACTCTTGTTGTGAACTCTTTCTGTTCATCCATATGTGTTCAATGTCCCAGGAAGAGCCCAGTGAGATGGCAACTCCAGTGTTATGACCCTAGCGAACCTAGCACCAAGCTAGATTCGACTTATGAGCATTTGGGAGAAAGGTTTTTTGAATGTGTGTTTGTTCATTTTGTCACATCAGTTCTCGCTCGACGCGGAAGTTGGTGGTGTGCAAACCAATGATGAAGTGATGATAGCTATTAATGCAACCTGAACACGAGCGTTTTGGCTACAGCACTAGGGGTGGTGCTGGATTAGTTTTCCAAGTTGCGCAACAAACTCAGATTTGTGTGCGTTGATGCGAGAACGCCTACTGTTCCGCAGCTGAACTTTGTTATAGGCCCTTTGCTAGTAGCACATTGTGTTTTTGCACCTATATTTGGTGATATTTGGTGAAGAATCGTGAACTTTTATGATAGTTTTCAATTTGTTCACTGTTTTTTTTTGAAAAAATAGGGACCGTGAACTTCCGTGAACTTTCGTGAATGTAATGCTATACACCTCTACGCCCGCGTGAACTTCCGTGAACTTCCGTGAAGGGGGGGGGCCTGGGCCAGTGTTTGTTGAGTGAGATGTTTTCTGCAGGCCATGGCTCCAAAGGTCATGCGCTGGGGCCTGATTCAGCGGTTCAGCAAGATCAATTTGCAATAGATTGCGTTGCCTCCCAATTGAGGTCGACCATCTGCCTTGCGGATGCCAGGCTCACCGAGATCCAATGAGAACAGACATGTAATATGGTCGTCAACTATCACAACAGAGATGATCGAAGACTTTGAAGCCAATTGGAAAGGCCCCCATGACTCATGATGTATACTTCGTGAAACGTTTTTGGGTGGCCTTGGGGAAAAGGATGAACTGCGGTCTGTGACACCGGCAGGTTACAGAGATGAAGAAGAAGAAAAGAAACCAGAGGAAGAACAGGAGGACGAGGACGATGAGGATGAGGAAGATGAGGATGAGGACGAGGATAAGGATTCAGAGGGCGATGGTGGTGACCATGATGAAGACCCTGAATGTCGGATTGAGGCAGGGTATGGACATGTAGTTGATGGCAAAGGGGGTGGGAAGACGGCAAAAGGCAAATGTACTGCCAAAGGGAAAGCTCCCACAGCAGTATGTGGATGGAAGGGAAAGAAAGGTGATGGCAAGAAAGGTGGGGGGGACCAGGGGAGCGATCTAGGAAAAGGCAAATGCCGTTCTGAGACGAAGGGTTCCCACGGTATGGAGAAAGGGAAAGAAAAAGGGAAGGAAAAAGGGAAGGAGAAAGGGAAGGCTGGCAAAGGCAATGGGAAGACAGCTGAGAAAGGCAAAGAGGTTGAGGATAAGGAGGAGGGAGACTTAAAGGGATGTGAGAAAGGCAAAGGAAAAAGCAAAGAAGGCAAGGGGACGGAGAAAGGGAAGGCAGCAGAGAAAGGAAAGGCAGGGGAGAAAGGGAAGGCAGCAGAGAAAGGCAAGGGACTAGAGAAAGGCAAGGGAGAGTTGGGAAAAGGTAAGGCGGTGGATCCCGCTGCTTAGTTTAATGCACACCTCGAAGCGGTGTTGGCCGCACCGGAAAACCCAGCACATGCGGCAAAGGCGTGGGAGGACGCCCCCGACCCAACTGAATCTCACCCCAAGAGGGCAAAGACAGAAAAGCCTCCTGAAGAGCCTGAGGAGGGGGAGTTCAATTGATTATTTCTTTCTTGGTTCAAACCCATATTGAACTGCCGTTTGCAGGACCCCCCAAAGATGAGGAGAACTTTGACCCTCCACTCTGTCGCTGGTGATGGCCCGGGGCAAATACGTGGACTGGTGATCAAAGGAAACGATGGAAGATTGAAGAGAGCGTCGGCCTCGTTTTACTCGAAAGTCCTCATGTTTTTTCCCCCAGGCTTCTTTTGCGCACGAGGTCAGAACACTCACTGATGAGCAAAAGCGAAGGGTGCTAGCTATGTCATCCCCAAGCCAAATGCCAGTGGAGGCCAGAGGTTTAGGTCAGGCGTTCTTCAATATTACTTCTTTCCTGTCAAGGACCGAAAGGTTTGGTACGGTGCCATGGACAGAAAGTTCAAGGCCCATGAGAAGAACCCTGAAGGATCAGGTGGTTGCGCTTGTTTCATTGTCCTGTGCTGAGTTTGATGTTGATTGTTTGTTTGTTGGCCAGACATCTCTCCGGGCCTCTTTGCCAAGTGGTCGGCAGCTTCTGGAAGCAGCAAGAAGTCGCGCCCTAAGTTTTTTTATGAATACACTAGTTTGGCTACTGTCTACATTATACCGTCAGTTCTCCAAGGTTTGACCTGCTCAAAGAGTTTATTTGCGATGAATCCATGTCTGCGACTCAACGTTTCCTACACTCCATTCGTGTTACTTGTCGCTGCTGTCAGGACAGGTGTGACTGTGGAAGCCAAGTTTGAAGAGCTCTTGCCTCAGTTTGCACTCTTCATTTTCCTTTATCTGCCTGCTTGGTCTGAGGATGGCCCTGAAATCTAGGGAGTCCGAATATGTCGAGAAGCCTCTCTACGAGTTGAGGGAAAAGTTTGCCTCCGAAGAAGGCAAGAAGTTTTTGGCAGATCTGATCAAACGCGTGGCAACCCAGCCTCACGTTCGTTGCAAGTTTCCTTTTGGTCAGTTTGGTGAAGTCTTACATAAGGTCAGACGGAGAAACCACATCCAATGAAAGAAGCTGATGACTTAGCTTTGTTTTCTTATTCAATTAGTTGTGCATGTTTGTTCTTTTTGTGATCTGCTCAGTACAGAGATGATCCGGAATGCCGAATCTACAAGCTGTATGTGGGGACCTCGATCAAAGATGGAACTCGCAATACGTGTTCGAGCACAGTCAAAGGAAAAATGAATATTGATATGAGCAAGGAATCCAACAGGAAGGCATTGAGTGAAGCCTTAGACACCATGCAGTTGCCGAGTGCTAGTGGGGCTGCGCCAAACAAGCGGAAGAAGGACAATGAGGATGATGACCCAGACCCGGAAAAACAAGCCAAAAAGCAGGAGCGGAACAATAACAGCTGTCTGTTTTAATGCGCCTTTCCACCCCCTGCTCAATGTCAAACCATGTCCAGGAAAGCAAGGAAAAGCAAGAACTACAGAAGGAGATCAAGAAGCTGGAACCCTAACCACCTGTGTGGTGTAGTGCTTGTGAACATGCACCTGCAATCTTTCAGGGTGGCCAGCCTGGCAACCAAAGTGCTCACTGCGGCTCATGAGCTGCGCGTGGTTCCTGGTATGGAGGCGTTGGGTGTTTGCTGAGCTAGATGTAAAGTGATGCTTTGTCACGCTGGCAGGGCACCATTCAGGAGCTCAAGATTTGGCACGACTGGATCAAGAATGAAAACACCATGCCTTCTACTTATTCTTCCCTTCCTATAATTTTGTCAACCAACCTGCCTTCAGGTTGGATAATATGGTCTTTGAAGGGAAGGCCAAAGATGAAGTGCTGGCTGCCATCGAAGCGGAGCGAGCCAATTACGAGGTGTGGTCGTTGGTGCACTTAGTCTTTCACATATTGATCTTTTTGCCCAGTTGGCTGATGACCTGGTTACAAATGCCAACGCAGCGTCCAAGAGCCATCGGAACCGCCAGAGTCTCACATATCGTCTTGCCCCAGTTTTGCTGAGAAAAGTGTATTGCCCATGCCCAAGGCAAGAACAAAAAGGATAAAAAGGACAAAAAGGTCAAGAAGGACAAGAAGGAAAAGGGAACAACCAGCTCGACCAAAACCGACACAGCCTGAGTCAGTTTGTTGGGAAATGTTTTCCAATAGCACTTTTGATAGATGGTTTGAGGCTGCTCCAGAAGAGTGGCCGGCCCCTGAAGGGGAATCACAGCCTGAGGAGGAACAGTGGGAATGGTAGGACATGTTTGTCTCACTGTCAGCTGCACGCGGCCTCTCTCTATATAAGTCTGATAATATTGCCCCTTCAACTAAATATGTTATATGTCTTTACTCGTTTCAGGGGTTCATATAAGAATATACCCAGGAGATTTGAATATATAAATCCATTAAATATATTCAAAGCTTATATAAATCTTTTAAAGATTTATACTATTTTATTATTTATTAATCTTTTCTGCATTCAATCAGTTGATTGGTCAAGGGAGAATTCGGTCTCACAACATGCTTTGGATGTGTTATCCATTGTTGGAATGAAAGTGCCTTGCTGGTTCCAACCAAGCAGTTGGGTGTTGCCATGGCACATGACCCGTTTAGTCCCCCCCCCCATTAAGGGAGGGAAAATTTGGCAAGGAAGCAGTTGACAAATTGGGTGGGCCAATGATTGAAACTACAAAAAGGGCCATTGCCCTCCTCACCCTCCCAGCCAAACTGCGTGGGTAACACAATATGGCTGTGGACAAAATGGGCAAAGGTCTTTTGAGTTGTTTCAACTTTTCTATTTTCTTTTTTTTACCGACAAAGGTGTTCGGTCCGGTTTCCAAAGTACAGTTGTTTGGAAAAGTTTTTCCTTTTTTTCTTTTTTTTTCACCCCCGAGGCAATCTGCTTTGCCTCTGTGAAACTCTAAAAGACTGCTTCATCCCCTTTGGGTATGTGCACCGTCTTTACTCGTTTCAGGGGTTCATATAAGAATATACCCAGGAGATTTGAATATATAAATCCATTAAATATATTCAAAGCTTATATAAATCTTTTAAAGATTTATACTATTTTATTATTTATTAATCTTTTCTGCATTCAATCAGTTGATTGGTCAAGGGAGAATTCGGTCTCACAACATGTTTTGGATGTGTTATCCATTGTTGGAATGAAAGTGCCTTGCTGGTTCCAACCAAGCAGTTGGGTGTTGCCATGGCACATGACCCGTTTAGTCCCCTGTGTTGTCGTCATGTAAAAGTGGATCAAAAGAGGCTTCAAAGGCATTGCATGTAAGTTTCGTTAGGATCCTGGGCAATCCATTGAAATTGCAACACATCTCAGCCACAGCTTCTACATCCACTTCTGAGGTCCAAGGACTGCCATCTATTATGGCCATGGCTTCTTCAGTCTTGTTTCGACTTGGCAAGTCTGCAACATTCGAAGCTGACGGCACTCGTTCTATCCAAGGTATGCAGCGATCAACTTCAGCGCAGCCATGGAAAAGTTGTACTATCTGCAACAAAGCTAACGTTTGGCTTGTAGCCTTGATCAGGCAGTGACGAGCTCCTTCGTTGTCTACAAAAATCAAGACTCTCCGTTGAGATATATAGCTTCTGAAGACAATTCGCGCCAGCAACGCGGCAAAAGCTTCGGCAAGCGTTATCACCTGATCACTCCCCAATGCATGCCATTTCTGCACAAGGAAGTCTGGAACTCGGCCACCCACAGCGGTTCTGGTGTCGGTGACAGGGTCCAGCAAAACCATTCCCCAAGTCGCTACATCATCTTCATACACAGCGTCTGTGAAAAGGACAACCGGTCTGGGATCACCACTGGGATCTATGACCTTTGGTGCCAAAAACTGCAAAACCCCCCTGGCCCATGTACACAGGTCAGTGATCTGGCCTGGAGCCGGTTTGCAATTGTCCATCGTAAGGGCAGCGAACGCTCTGGCAGCAATTCTCATGGTATGTCCCAAAAAGAAGCTCATCGCGAAGTTCAAGTTTCCGTGGATCACCTGAGCTTGTCGTTTGGAAATCGCATCTGCTTCTTGCACTTCTTTCAGCAAGGCATCTATTCTTTCCAACCTTGACTGTTTGTTTTCTAAGCTGAAAGATCTTCCATGCAGTCCTGAAACATCAATCCTGGTTCCAAGCACGTCAAAGGCATAATCGACGGGAACGACTTTCTTCGGATCATCTGAATATTGCCACCCCAAAGCTTTCAGCAAACCCTCTACCGATTTCGATGCAAGGGAGCACAAGGACTCCGGCTCTACGATAGGGAAGTCATCGAAAAACACGCCTCCCATCATCAAGCATCCTTTCGTAGCAATGTGCCACAAACTTTTGGAGATGCGGTTGAAACCAAAAACGCTCGCACTTGCCCCAAAGGGCAAGCTTCGGCTCAGGAAATACACAGGCCTCTCTGTCTCGAAATGGTGCACCATCAGCACTGCAAACTTCCTGGACTGGCTGCTGACAGGGATCTGCTTGTATGCCTTTGAAAGGTCAATACAACGGCCCTTCCACACGCATGGCTCATGGAAGTCTGAATGCAATGAACCTCGAAGAATTGAACCATCCTTCAACTTCACTTCTACTGTTTTCTCCGAGGATTCCAAAGCATGTTTGATGGTAGTTGTGATGAAATGGCAAAAGGAAGTCACATAATCAATGTCGTGCAAGGTCAAGCGATCTACTGCTGTGAAAGCTCTATTTACACCACTCTCCTTCAAGTCGTCGATTATGCGAGGTTTCCCACTCTGCATTATGGCAAATCTTCTACTACACACTGTGCCTTTGGCCTCCAAGACTTGGTGCACCTCTTCAAGCGACTCGTACGGCCCTTGCAAAAACCCCCGGTCAACTTCCTGCATAATCGTTTCCCATAGGGTTTTTGACAGCTCGGGATCGTCAGCATGGATGTTCTTTGCTTCGATCTTTTTCCGTTGCCATTTGTTTGACAACACAGCAAACTCTGGCGTGGTGGTAGCTGGCACAATTTTGTCTCCGAAAAAGGGCGATCTTGTTGCCACCCCCACGAGATGTACTCCCTGCATTAAGTCGAAGGCTTCCAGGTCAGGGCACCCGGATTCTTGGAGCAAATGTTTGAACAGGAGCAATCTCTTACCTTTCAGCACTTCTCTGGCGTGCTCTGGCAATGACAAATGGAACCTTGCCTCTTCTGGAGCTAACTCTTTTGATATGGTCACTAATTTCCGAGCAAAGCTCAATCGTTGGTGGGCTACCCAACTCTTTCCTTTTGTCAACATGGAGAACACATTCACCCTAGTCAAATCTTCTACAGCGAACTTATCATCGAAAGGATGGTTCAACTCAAGGGCCTTGCTGACGAATTGTTTGGGTGTATGGTATACCCCATATGTGGTTTTTTCTCCATCTGCTTCAACTGCATCACCTGCTTCATCCCCGCCTGTGTCCCCCCGATGGACTGGAGGAAGCAGCTTGTATTCTCCCTTCGTCGGAGGTGAGTGCACTAACCTATGGTATTCGGGAATCAAAGCTCGATGCTTGCGAGATTGCTGGTGCGCTCCAGGCTGCGCGACTTGCGGATTGAAGGAAAATGTTGACACCAAGTGGCTCTTGATGAGTGCAACGAATCGCTGACAAAGGAGCAGCGGGTACTCGCTTTCACCTGCAGTGTCAAACTTCCACGCACCAAAAGTCTTATTGATAGCATATGGCTTATGTTTGTGATTTCCGGGGCACTCTTTAGCTAAAGGCTGCAAGAAGGGATGAGTTACTCGGAACAGTGTTTGCTTTGGACGTTCACCTCCGTGTGCACAGTTGCTGAAAACAACGTCAAACATGGCATTCCAAGCACGTGTCACAGCCGGGCACTGGGTCTCATTCACAAAATGTTGAAGGACTACCCACATCCAGCTATTCAAGGGGTTCTCAATGCACACGATGGACTCCCATTCTAAACCTTTCTGCAAAAGAAAGACGACAAACTTGGCTAACATGTTTGCACTGTGCACCTTGAGCTCCTCGTATGGGGTGAGCCAAGGAAAACCAAGCGGGAAATCTTGATTTCGCAAAGGTCTTGGGACCGGTGCCCCTTGATTCACAAGGGATGGAGCTATTGGTTTTTCGCGTGCTCTTGAACCTGTGCCACATGGCAATGCAATATGTATGACAGCGGGATGCAAAACATTCAAAGTCTGGATCAAACACTCCTGCGCATGTTCATCAGTGAGATCTAAAGTCAAAACTGGGCACTCTGGTGTGTGCTCGTTTCTGGGACCATCAACTGGAATAACCTGGAAACCTTGCTGTTTGGCGCAACGGCTTAGCCGTGCACATCCTGCAAAAATTTCGACAAAAACTGCACCCCCTTTGGATGGGGCAACACTGGTTTCATGGAAAACACTGTGAACAGCACGGGGCTGCTCAACTCGAGGCCTCTTCCCTGCGCCAGCCTCTGGCGAAAAATTTTGTCTACGATCATTGGCACCTACCTTTCTCGGACTCTCGGCCAAACAACTAGCAGGCTGAGCTGTCGCATTCTCGGCAGGCACCTGTGGTTGTCACGAATGATCACAAGTCTGAAAGGGCTTTGGCTTGTTGCATCGCCAACACACATGAAAGCCCCGACGGCATCTTTTCCCTTCCTTTGCGAATGTGCATTTTCCACGATTGAAGAGGTTGCAAATGGGCTTTCCATCCTTTGTCATCTGATTGCAATTTGGAGGCAACTGCAACTGCTGCCCTGCGCCCTTGTCCTTGTTGAAGTCCTTCTTCACACCATGTCCTTTTCCCTTCCCTTTTGAAGGGTTCGCATAACTTACATGATTGTTCTCATTGGCAGATTTTCCTGTTCGAACCATGGGGATCAAACAAAACTGGACCTCAGGGTGGTTCATACAATCCTCAAATTCTTTCTCCATGGGCTTGGTCCCGTCTGCAAGTCTCACCAGGCCACCTCGCGTTTTCTCTGCCAATCGCCGGAACAAGGCCTTGTCCGCTTCTTTCACCTGATGCAACGAAACTGGCAAGGCATTGGGAGCTGGTTCTCTGCCTACAATCTCAAAAACACGTTCACGCCATTCCTCCATTTTGTTGTAGCCACAAATTGCTGCTAAATCGAGAGCTCTGGCGCGACGATTGAGGGCTTGACGGACTTTCATCTCTCCTGTGATGACTGCATCTGGTGTCTGATGCTTGGGTGCAACTTTCAATCCACCTTGGGAGTCGAAAGAGATCTTGAAGTCCTTCTGCGAGTGAGTGATTTCGGCTGCACGGCTAGTCAACTTCTCCCAAGGGATCCATTCAAGAGTTTGATCAACCCCCATCTGACAAATCATGTCGACCAGCTTGTGACTCGGCTCATTCTCTGGAGAAAAATGGAGACCAGTAAGTCGGTTTTTCTGATCACTCAACCGTGCGTTTCTTTCAGCGACTGGCATCCTTGTTGGTTCTGAAGTGTCATCCCGTTCAGTGCGCTGCTTCATGTCGGACAAAGCTAATGCGCAACTCTCGAAAAACAAGCGTCTCAAAATGATCAACTCTGGGTTTGTTGGGTCCCTATTCAGCGCCTTCTTTAAAGCCTCTATCAGTGGGGCCTCGCCGGGCTGGCCCGGTCGATAGGGGGTGATGAAGGCCAATGATCCGAAAGATTTCACGCCATTTGCGACCAGTTCATTCACAACTGTCTCGGCCAAACCAATCTCCTTTGCTCTGGCCTTGAATGAGGCTTCAGATTCCAAGGTGGACGCCATCGAACCGAGTTTATCAACAACGCTAGAGAGAAGTATGCCATTTCGATTGAATGCATAATACTTCCAAGTGTTTATGGTATATCTCATATGGTCTAAAAACCCTTTCAGTCCTAAGGTTTTGGACTTGGAAAGATTTCATTGGTGGTGGCTTCGCTCCATGTCCTCAGAGATGGCCTTCTTCTGCTGCGTGATTCGGTGATGATTCCATCAAGCTTGCAAAGATGGTGATGTCTCTGCTGGATGGATGCACCAATGTTTGCACTCATGGGCAAATTTCCACTTGGTCTTGGGGTCCCTCGTGGCGCCGATGCTGGTGATGCCGGCCAGTTTTGGGGCGCAAACCGGGGGCTAAATTTAGCCCCCGGTTTTGGAGCCGAACCGAGTGGAAATTTGCCAGCACTCATGTACTCAAAAATGATGGAAGCTCTGATTGTTTTGCTAGTCTTTTTGGCTTTTCATTTCCGTGCGATGCCTATTGCACTGCCACTGGTGGGGTGCGAACTGAATACGACGAGAGACGGTCGTAGATCCCTAATCTTATACACGTGGCAGCCAACGAAAGTTCGGCCCTATCGACCATTATCACTACACAAGTCAAAGCTAAACGCCTCTCACCGTAGACGTCCAAAAAGACGTGGATCTTCATCACGATGAAAAAGTCCCTCCAAATGGGATGCATCATGTCACGTCTTTGGCAAAACCTGTCAAGGCTACAAATCAGCATCCTGCGGCTCGTCCTGCAGCAGCAACCAAAAGAAGCAGGTTATCCACCCTGCTATGAAAGCTGCAGCCAACTTGCACGCTCCCCAAAGTAAGCCTGGCGCCCTTTCCGTCAAGCGCGTCGCAGCAGCTTTGCCCCGCTCGACAGGTTTGGACATGTCGCGCCCAAGTCGCGAGGGTCAGATTCCTCGTCTAAGGCTTGAGTGCTGATGGCGGTTCAGACGCCGCTGGCTCCACTCATGTTTGCCTCCAGTGACTTTTCTGTCCAAGAGTGTCAAAAGTCTCAACAAATTTCAACAAGCATTTCACGACTGCCGTGTGTCAAGCATGAACCTGGGCTGCAGCATTTTTTCACATCCCACGTCGCATATGCTTGGTTTGGGACTTACCCATATGTCGAACGACACTGCAAGCAAACTGGCAAATCGAAGTAGTTTGATCCCATTGGGATTTCATCGAAGTTTCTGGAGTTGGCACGGCCGCACAAAAACTTTCTGGCGTCATCTTCTCTGGCAACATGCACCACACCTGAGAACGCATGGATCCTGAGCCTGCTGACGAACTCCAAAGGCAAATCATCCCATACCTGTCTGTTGCCTTTTGGTATTGGCATGGGTTCAATTTCATCAGCACTTGCATCACTGTCGTCCTGATCCACATCATCTGACTCAGGCATTCCTACCACTGCGTCGAACAATCTTTCTGCTCTGTTTGCATCTGGCTTGAATTTCTTGAGTTCCAAGCACGACCTGGCGGCACCTCGAACTCGTGACGAGAGGAGCTCTTCCAACGAAAACGTCAACATACCTATACAGTGGTGCAAGAAAGTCAACGCCTGGATGAAAGAAGTTGCAGTGCTGGGGGCTCCATGTTCTTTCAAATGTTCCATGTATCTGTAAATGACCGATTCCGTCACATGCAGAATCACAGGCAAGTTGTTTTGCATCAACCATTCATTGAACCTCCAAAGGGCTCCTGATCGCTTTGCCAACGTTGCCACTGATTTACCCTGGAAAGCGTCGGCGAATGATGCCTCCCATTCAGACTCTGCTGACAACAGCTTCACTCCCGAAACCAGGCTACGACCTAACTTGGAGGCCTGAGGATCAACAAGTATCAAGGCTTTCAGTTTCCTTAGTGCACCCCATTTGACTTGGTCGTCTGTTTTAACTAAGTTGGTGTGTCGAATGCGTTTGATGGCAAAATCAGACCAAGGCTTGGACTGAGGCATCTCACAGCTGGCATCCTTTGGAATGACAACAGCACTGACCAGACCTATCTGCGGCGGCACAAAAAACTGGTTGACCTGAAGCCATGACGGGTTCAAAAAGTCTTCCATTTGGTTGTCCAAAGGTCTCAACGTCTGCAAGCGGTTCAAAGACAACATTGCGTCAAAAACTGCAGAACTCATGGAAGCATCGGTGTTTGGCTGTGTGTGTGACCCGATTTCTGCTTTTGGAGTGCAGGGAACAAAAGGCACATGGGAGCTTGTGGCCCCTGGGCTATGGCTCCCTTCATCTCCACTGACTTCGCTGTCCATGGCTTGTCCCCCGACTACCAATGATTGAAACTACAAAAAGGGCCATTGCCCTCCTCACCCTCCCAGCCAAACTGCGTGGGTAACACAATATGGCTGTGGACAAAATGGGCAAAGGTCTTTTGAGTTGTTTCAACTTTTCTATTTTCTTTTTTTTTACCGACAAAGGTGTTCGGTCCGGTTTCCAAAGTACAGTTGTTTGGAAAAGTTTTTCTTTTTCTTTTTCTTTTTTTTTCACCCCCGAGGCAATCTGCTTTGCCTCTGTGAAACTCTAAAAGACTGCTTCATCCCCTTTGGGTATGTGCACCATATATATATCTCTCTCTCTCAAGCCTTTGTTTTCCCGCATGTGCAAAGTTGCCCTACACGTGA